CTCATGGGCTCCCACAGGGATGCAGTACACAAACTGCATGGCACTCCAGAGACGGTGGAACTCCACACACTCGTCCACGTGCATGACGCCGTTGCTGGGCAACGGCCCGCGCCAGATGGGGTCATCCAGGAAGCCTCGCACGCGTGTGAGGATGACCTCGAACATGGACAAACCGCAGCACAGCCTCTCTTTGGTCAGGAGGTCGCCTTCACGAGCAATGGCAATTTGCTGAAAGACAGGTGAAGAATTCTAGTCACACAAAGGGCTGTGATATTCAGATTATTTGGTCAATGTCTTTCACTTGTAACAAAGCTGATTCTGATTCAGTGAACACAGTAACTACTGGACTGGCTGTACCTGTGGGGTGCCAAGGCGCTCTATCAGTGGAACCATATGCAGTGCTGTGTATTTGGCTTCCAAGCGCTTCATCTTGGCATCAAGGCGTTCCCCTTCTGCACAGTGATGAAAAGAAAAGCATAATAGCAAAGGTCTAGTGATATTCTTTATTTTTCTTGTTGTCAACAATCAACAAAGTATTATCTGTGTATCTGAACCCTGATATAGTTAATTACTTTGTGCCATAGAGCTCTTCTGTTGTCCAAAACCACACAATGAGCTGTTGCACTACTTGACATGCACTGTGGTTTACTCTGAATCAACTGCACACACTGAATTACAGAATTTGAATTTGTAGTAATCCACTCTGTAAACGGCCCCCAACAAATGCAGTTTAAGGAAGTTATTCACACTTTGCAGCCATATTTTGTGACCTGTTTCTAACACATCTTTAGCAGAAACCAATGGGCTTGGGTCGAAGAGCCACAGACAGGGTATGGAAGTCAGAAAGTGTCACTGACGCATTACTGATTTTGGGCTATGTCTGAAATCCCTTGCCCATTCAATACTCCCTTTATAATAGACAATGAATATTTAATCTCTATAAATCGATATCTGCATATGAAGGCAGAATCTGTAGGCAAGGCACACAGATTTGAGTGTGCTTTTGTTGCATGAAGGCAAACAGTCCATGTCGAGAGCAAAAGAGGCAAAACACATTGGCCGAAATGCAATCTAAATTTATTTTCATTCATATTCTGGCTACACCGGAAGCCCTGAAACACTGGCCTTTGCCCCTAGAGGTTAATTCGTAACTGATCAGTAGTTTACTCAACAGTGAGCAGTAAATTGAGACTTCCTGATTTACAAATACTTATTTTGTGTTTTTTGTGCAGATTGTTAGCAGAAGGTATGTGTATGTCATGGGAATTTCTTTATATCTTCCATTATGTGGATTTTTGAGGGCACTACATGGAGCATGAATGTCACACACACACACACACACTCACTCTCTAAAATGAAATGGTGGACAGTAATAAATATGGTGACCTATATAGTAAATAGGGAGTGATTTTGGTCACAGCCTTGGACTTCAAAAACAAAAACACATCCCACACCTTACCGACATCAGAACTGGGCGCAAGCAGACATTGCAGCCACTGTATGGTGCGATGGGCCAGCTGGGGTTGAAACTCTTCCTCTTGTTCTCTTTTTTCACGTCACACTATTTATTTCTGTCATTCTGGCTGCATATAAATGAGTGAAACACTATGGATGGCTTAAAAGATTTAAAAGATTATCGTGTTTCACTTCTCTAAATGACTGCCAGCATCTCACTCTGTGCTGAGCATGGCCATCCGAAACAGCTACTGTAGGAACTAGTTCAGCCAAACGTTTCTCATGCATTTACCTTTGACGTGGACTCTTGGAAGGATGTTCTGAAAAGGTGCAGCGTGCAGTAAATCACAGACTTCTTCCTGTGACTGGAAGAAAGAAGCAGTAACAGTCATAACACCGACAGGTAAATATAAAGATTTAAAAATACATTTAAATTCCATCCTGAATATGTGAAATTAAATAATCTCAACTAAGATCCGTACCAGACTCTGCTCGCTCAGCAGACAGAACAGCATGGCATTGCCCACTTCCCTCAGGTTCTGGAAACACACCGTCTTGAGTTCGGCGTACTCAACAATGTCCTTCAGCTGATGGTGAAAGAATTCCAGGATACCTGGAAAAAAAAAATTCCGTCCATCACAGCAGAAGGCAAACTTTATCCAGTACGAAGGCTTCCCGCAGTTTGCACGGCTAAAAAGTATACAGTTCTCTGTAAAATGAGGGCACTCAGAGTGAGTTTTCAGTCATCTTGTGCATTTATATGAAATATAAATAAATAATTTGAACAAAACCTGCAAAAAAGTGCAAAAACCTTGGTATTTATTCTGTTACTTCGTTTTCTTTGATGCCAGGTTATTTACTGAAGCAAGTGTTCTGATCCAAGTTCATTTTAATAACAATGTGACTAGTTCATCTCACATTTGAAAGCTTAAATTAAAACTTTATAATAACTTAGTATCTGCGCAGCTTTGTTCTTTTAACTAGAGTTACATCCTGATTCTTAGCATTCAACTGTTTTTCAGTTTCTATAAATAAAAGATTTTTGTGGAATCAAAATGAATGTGAAGTAACAATGCAGAAGTCCATATTAGTGCAGTTAGCAGATGTAGAATAGGATCATTTTAATTTGCTTAAGATTAAAATTAATGTTTACCAATTTCTCCAAATGCACTTGTGCGTATTGTACAGGTTTGTTTGTAATGCATGCTCCCATGAGTTTTTCTTTGGGTCAATTGATTGGGCCATTGATCAGTTCTCACAACAAGTCGACTACATGGTCAGTTACCTGGGGAACCGTACTCGTGGCGGGGAAGTCGGCAGATCTTGGGCATCACCTCCATCAGGGTCTTCACATACTGCATTATGGTGCCCTGAAGCTGAACAACAGAAGCAGAGCGTAACGCAGCAGCACATTCACAGTTAAAATATTAAAAGAATGAAGGACACAAACAACGAGTCCCTTTTTTGTTGTTTATTTGGTATATGACGATATCAATCTCATTCATGACAAACAAAGAAAAGCAACCTCTTTCAACCCATCGCAGTCCGCTCTGTAACAGCAGGAAGCATCAGCAAAGGAATTATGACTCCCACACACCCTTGATGTTAAATATGTGCTACTCACCAGGCTTTTGACGACCTTCAGCAGCTCCTCCATCACCACAGCGATGCCCTGGTAACCCAGAAGCCTGCACATGACCTTGATGTGCGGGGGACCCACAAAGTTCCTGTAGGCGCCAAATATGCTGCTGTACGCTAGGTTCAAGGTCTGTATTCAGAGGAAAAACAAGTGATGATGAGGAACAGTTAAACATAGAGCTCCAGCACTTACATGAACATTGTATGTGTTTATCAGGCATCAGTGAGTGAGGATGAATATTTGAAAGATCAATCGTGTTTAGGTTATTTATTTCTGTTAAAGCCACTGCTAACTCGTATCATCTCCACCATTAAGAAATGTGTCCTGAAGGTACATTTGTCTCCTGTGGGTGTATTTGTGGCTATAGAAAGGCTGAGTCACCTTGTCACTATGGACACTTCCAACACATCATCATCCAAGGGCACATCAGCAGTTTATGGAGAAATCCAATACCATGACAAACACCATTGTAAAGTGGAAACAAAGACACAGCAAGTAATGGAACATTGTGGGTTTGCAAACTGTTGCCAAAGTTGCTGCTGTGAAGCTAACATGCAGAGAGGACTTATCATTTACCACAACTTCAAACAATGAATGTTTTAGAAAAACATAATGCCTGTTAGCCCCCCTTCAGTGGCTGCAATGTTCATAACACCCCACAACACATGAAGCATTCAGAGAGGACGTATATCATCCAGACAATTTGGGGATTTCTACCAGTAGTGGGGGTGCAACTGTAAAGACTGTCCTACATGGGACAATGAATAACAAGATACCCAGAGCTAGGTTAGCAGCTCTGTGAGGTTGGACAACATGACACCTCCCCAAAAGTGAAGTCAAAATATCTTGATCGCCCTCTGGTGGCTGACTGCAGTATAGGTCATCAAGCCTGCTGCCTCCATGTTAGCAAATGGGACATGGGCCAAATAAAAAAAAATCAATGTACACGTCAAACAGTTTTTTTTCCCAAAGATGTTTTCTATCATTGAAGGTAGTTCTTCAATGACACCGATGTATTTTAAAGTCCCTTTCTGATAAGTTTAGTTTTAATTTGTTAGTTGACGCTATTAAAAGGAGGCTTCACGGCATGACTGACAGCTGGGCCCTGCTCACGATAGAGGTGGCTGGGCTCATGGAGGGGACCTCGAGGGGCTAGCAAATGTTAGCAAATGTAAGCATGCTAAATGTTAGAATACAAAATGTTAGCATACTAACGTACTAAATGTTGGGGATGTCATTCATTTTGCAGGCATTTGGTTATAAACCAAAGTATTGGACAAATTACAATTTTGATTTGGTCGTGGCATGTATGAAAAAGCAGGGGATCATCAGAAATCATCCTCTGGAGACCATGAATGTCAGTACCCAATTTCCCAATTTGATGCTGGACCACAGTGGTGGGCCGACCGATATTTCTGTCCCTACAGTCACAATGCTAAAAATGTCCAACACGAGATCATCAAAAACAAATCACCATAAATTTAATGGCAACCTGCCTGTTGGATTATGAGGCACTTTGTTTGCAAAGTTCAGATTTTAGCCAGAAGGTGGCGCTAGTGGAAAGCTCATGCAAAGGATCCATTTCACAGCAATCTGCCTGTTTGATTTTAATAATTTTTGTGTGCAAGTGAAAATACACCAGCGTCAGGGGATCACTAGCAACATTTGGACTCATCCTCTGGGGACTGTGAATATCCACAGTAAATTACATGACAATCTGGCCAGAAGTTGTTGAGAGACTTTACTCCAGAAAAAAAAAAAACATTTGGACAGATGGATTGCCCAACTGAACAACAATTTCAGCTCCCCTTCCCTAACCCCTGCCACATGATTTTCAAGATAACAGAGCATGGACCAACATGCTGGTGAAGGGGAAATGAATGATTGATATCACTATGATTTTCTGTACATAAACTAGCAGGGGAACATGGGAACAGAAAACAATATCAGAGCAGCAACATTTACAACCATAAGAAAAAATGACATACAATGACATTTGGATATTGTAGTGTTTCTACACAGTGCGCTCTTTTCTAACATAAACTGCAAGAGATTTCATTCCCTCTCTCTCCCCTGTCGGCAGCTAGTTGAAGCTGCTGCTGCTCTAATCCAGCAGCACTCCCACTTGTGTGGCAGCAGCAGAGATAAGGACGCACCGATCTCGGGTCCACTCCTGAGGTTGTAAACCTACACAGCAACCCCCGGCGTCAGAGCTCTTGATGCGATGACAGTGGAATAGATGCTAAAATGTCTGAATAGCAGGACCACAGGATAGTCTATCTGAAACAACACCTCAGGCACGACAGATTGCTATGTTCAACACGTGCTCGCAGTGTTTCTCTGGTAAGTCTTCCCTTCTCTCATGCTTTGAATGGATGGCCACTAATGATCTGAACATGGCTCGTTACCATATAGACAAGTATGTTTTGTTGCTATTGGTTACAGCTGATGCAACAGAAAAACATGTGAACGGATGAATTTGCTTAATTGTATAGGTAAAAAAACTGAAGCATCTCCAGTGATTTGTACTATAAAAGTCAGATGGAAGCTCGTCAGGCTGACGGCAATTGTAAATGACCTAAAAACTACAATTCTGTGTCTGTTTTAGGCATTTTTATGATGGCTTATTTAGAGTATTGAGAAAAAATAGCATAACTAGAACACGTACTATGAATGTGCCTTATGAATGCTCTCAAGGAGCACCACACCCTCGCTGCATTAGTTCAAACATAGAGAGGCACAGTGAACACTTACAGTAAATTATTTCACACTCAATTTAATTTGGTTCCATGTAAATAAAAAATCATTTTCTGAGAATTGTGCTTTCCTTCCATTTTGGGCAATATTAACGCCTGAAATGCTTCTATTACCACCACCTGATATCAGTGTTTGGTCAAGAGCATGTTATTATTTTGTATTCTAGCTTCAATGAATTTTACGAATAATGCTCAAATCAAAGCTAAAGCCACCGACCGTACTATTACAACCTGAACTGCTCAAGGTTGTCAGATCGTCACCTGTCCTGTAACAGGTGACTTAACAGCACAGATGAGTCTCTTAACAAATCATTCTGCATTATATAATTTGCTGAACATCTGTGCATACACTCACCTCCCTCCCACCACTGCACTTCCAGATAATCCTTCATACAATGCTCATTATCGGATATTGTTCTTCCAACCTTTCACTTTTTATGCTTTATGTGATGTGTGTGTGGGATGGGTGGATGGCCATGACATTTTTCATGAATTATGCTGAACACTATACACCAGGAGTGCAATTTATAAGAGGGATATAATTACACTGTGTTCATATCATATGGCCATAAGTGTGTCAGGAATCAGATTTTTTTGCAATTACAACAGAAAAGGTGCTGTTATCAAAGTAGCTTGTTAATGACGGATGCTCATTATATAAGCTCCCTGGTGAGAAGCACAAAAATCTGAAATTGGTGGGACATTATAGCATTCTATTAACGTAATCTGAATTCCTGTTTATGTTATCTCTCTTTTCCAGTTGACTGTAATAACTGAGGAAAAATTTCATTCATATCAACTTGGCTCTACAAGCAGACGGACAGACTACAGAAACGGCCTTGCACCATGGGGATTGTGGTCTACAACATCTCCACCACCTCAGCCAGAGTGAACTGGCCGTCGTCCCCCAGCTGCCTGGACACCTTCTACAGCGTCATGTACGACCCGAACTGGAACAGCCTCCTGATGGGCTACAAGCGGAAGAGTTTCATGCACGAGGAACGCATCCCCGTCAGTCAGACCAGCACACACCTGGCCAACCTCCTCCCCCAGACCGCCTACTTCTTGTGTGTGACGTGTCAGGCAGCCAATCCGGTGCGGGACCAGTGCCAGGTGTTCAGCACTCTGAGCGACAACAGTGAAGGTCACGACAGAGCTGGCTGGGAGCTCGCCATGGGCGTCTGGCTGACCTGCTGCATCTTGCTGCTGGTCATCGCCGGGATCCTGTTGTGGGGGTGTCTCCACACCATCTGCTCCATCCCCAGTCAGGCCGCAGACAGCTGCCATGTGGTGACTAACTCGACCTGCCAAGACATGTCTGGATCCGGACGCCTCTACACTCCCAGAAGCGGCAGCGAGGACAGCGCCAAACATGCCACCATCATACAACGCTCCCTTCTCTCAGCACAGACCACTGGCCACATAATTACCCAGGACCACGAGCTGAGGACGCTCGCTAAGCTTTCTGGTACAGAGCCAGTATGAATCAATTGGATTGAGGTCATCAAAGCATCGTTCTGCCCGGACTGAACCAAGTATTATTAATTACTGATGAAATCCTACGGAGTACGGAAAGCATCAAGATGAAAAAGGAAAAGAAATTGAATTTGTGCTCTCGATTTAACAATTTCAGTTTAGTAATTTTAACACACATATATGGGCCAATACGCAAAGTTCAGGTATCATAATCAGTATCGGGAAGAAACGTTTTTTTATTGAAACATCTCTAATCCCAACCCACACACTTCATTATCAGTGTGAAATACATGCCATACAACCTATAGCCCTCTCTCTTTCTTCTGCACAGCAGTGAGCAGTGACTTTACCTATTTAGTCATGGTGATTAACAGTTTCGATATTTTCCAGTGCTCTCTGGCTCAGCTATCGGTAGGAAACTGTTCAGTGGCTGCTGCAAAAGCACTTAGAATCATGCAGCCTAATTTGGTTTAATTATAACAGACAGTCAGACAACACTATGCTCTTTTGGAACAGTTCTCTGAATTAAATGTGTCCAATAGGACTGGAAAACAATTTAACACAATGTAATTGGTTTTGATTTATGACAGACAGTCATATATCTGATTTCATGCATATCAGGCTACATCATCGTTATCTCGTTATCAGCAGGTGACCTGAGAGCGAAAAACAGAGAGCTTGACGCCAAAAATATGTAAATCGAGAACACTATTTTTTTTTCCTTCATGATATCTCCCTTGCCCTGTAAAATCCCGTTTGTGTTTAGGAGATATAAAAATGTTCTCACAGGAACCATTTGAAATTAAATATGACCGTGCTGCTCCAAAGCTTTCAGTGATAAATGTTTTGCAAATGCAACAAAAAAATGTATTTATCTGGTCAATATAATTTGTTCCACTGTGTTCTTGTAATTTGTTGTATACAAACATCTAATTTTTTTCCATTTACCTTGTACATGTTTTAAGATATCTAACATATCATTTCCCATAATGATGCTTTTCCACTTGTAATCTACAGATATTAACATGTATTGAATGTTTGGCTTCAACATATTGACTCATGAGAGGTCATACACAACCCTTTGAGTCCTGGCAGAAATCAATAAAAATACCCTCCACTGATGGAAGTGAGAGGACCCCACAGTCTCTGTGGCTGATGATAAAGACATATGTACTGACCTTTGACCCGTACAAGTACTGGGGCTGAGCGTTGGGCGGCTTGTCCCTCTGGAACTCCTGAGAGAAGGGTAGGACGGTGCGCACAAACCTGAGCAAACAAATAGGGTTTCATCAAACATGTACCACTTTCAACATAATGCACATGATTAGAGATGGCAGGAGGTACACACAGACACACAGTCAGAGACACACACACACAGAGCTGTAGATAACCATGCACCAGTATTGTGTTGCAGAAACAGATTGATCGTGAGCAAACAACAAGAATAAAATACATACAAATCAAACACTGAATAAATCACATTTGTGGCTTATACAACAGCCAAACAAGTTAAAAACATGTGTTTGTTGCAGGCTATATGGAGGCTGTTGCTGCTTAATTCAAAAGACCCCCACTGAGAGTGCCTCCTTTTCATCCGCAGATTATAAGGTTTCCCTCTTGCTGGGTTCCTGTATAGTGCAGGAACAGTCAGCTGCATTTAGAATCTGATTCCATATGAACAGCATATAAGCAAATACATGTATATAGTGTATCTAATTGGGAGCTTTATGTGGTTGCTTTTCTACTGTGGTCTAGTACTTTGTTGCAGGGTTGCGGATCTTTTAATAACATCAGGGCCAAAACAAGGAAAGTTTTACATTACCTCATAAAAATGTTCAAACTTAAGGCAGAGAGAGAGTTTTGAGTGTTGAAGTCTGCATTACATTTGCTACTTACCCAGATTAACCTATGATAGGGGCCCTGGGCCAGTATTTGTTGACCCTCACTATACTCAGTAGCTTCATTATCCCCCTACACATCAACCAGCAAGAACTCTAGAGCTGAAATGATTAGTCAGTCGCTGAGTTGATGGACAGAAAACTAAAAAGTCATTTTGATTTTGAAAAATGCAAAAAAATTAAACAGTTCCATCTTCTAAAATGTAAATATCTGCTGGTATTCTTCATGTTCTTTGATACTGAACTCAATGTCTGACAGCGCAAGTAATTTATGTCAGCTGGGGCTTCAGGAAGTTGTGATCAGCATTTTTCACTATGTTCTGATATTTCACTAAAAGCGATTAATCAATTACTAATGAATAGTCAATGTCATTATCATATCAATGTTCAGGGCCTGGGGTAGTTGCCCACTTTGTAATCCAGCCTTGCTGCACCTGATGCAACCATATTTTATATTTAATTTTTAACCAAGCTCGGACAGTGTTCCACTTGTGTATTATGTAACTGGTGATATAGCTTCCTCCAGCATTAATCATGATGGCAGCATGCTGTTAGGTAAAGATGTATTGAAAAATATTTGGTTTGGTGACTTTGTACTATATCTCTTTTAAACACATTAGAGTTAATTAACTAAGCAATCTGCCATGAGCATGCTAACTCTATAAAAGGACAGCCGCAGTGTTGACAACAACAGTCAATGTTGACTCACACAGTCACCCAAACTAACACACCTGTTGGTGGAGCCGTTGTAGCAGTAGTTGGGCAAGAAGTCATAATTGAGCTCCCAGAAGACGTGCAGTGTTATCCGGCCGTAGGGGGCCGACACGTTGTGGTTGGCCTCGCGGAACATGGCGTCCATGCTGTCCAGAGTCAAGAACTTACTGAGGAGCTTGTGTGTCATGCGGTTGATGTCCAGAAGACCTTCAAGTTCCTTTAAACAAATAGAAAAAGAGTCCATGACTGTACGCCAACACACATAGTAGACAATAACAGCAGCAAACACAGAAATACTCATAGGTTGAAATCCAAAAAGAATGAACATACCATGATTGAGGTGAGGTCCTCACTCTCAAAGCGATTGATGGCCAGCTCGAGAGACTTGTAAAGGGCAGCTGAAACTCTCTGAGTGATGAGCCTGTTCAGATCAATGGAGCGGCCTAGAAGCTGAGATTTACAACCAGTTAGTAAGGCTGACACAGCATGACGCCAATATAATGGTGGTGCCAGTACAGAGTGGCCATAATGCATAACTGGTAGAGTATATACCTGGACGTGGCGTTGCTTCAGAAGTGTCTCGTAGCGGTTGGAGGCCGGCCAGGGAATGTTGGCCCCTTGGTTCTTACAGTCGGTTCTCAAACGTTTGTCAAGCAGGAGACTGAGGGATTTAAATGAATAGAGAAAGTTACAGGGTGTTTTTTATGAAAGTCTGATTCCATGTTTTTAAACTATTTCACACAGTGGGCTCCCAACCTTTTTTGTCTGATGTACCCCCAACATCCCTATCTGATGAACTCAAATACCCCTTCATCAGCACCACCCGACATTATCCAAGAGTGGTCATTTCAATTGATTATAAGTGGATGTCAACACCATTTAAAAGGGGATGCTATTGCCAATTTTTTTCATGCAATTGGATTGACGATATGGTAAAGTTTGCATTCCTACTACACTTTATGCATCACTTTAAGCTAACAACCTGTTTGTCCATATTTTGGCATTTCTGCTTTATTTGTGACAGTGACCGGTGAAGAGAGTCAGGAAAGGGAACACAAACACATTTCAATCAAATCATCAATCTATTTGAGCTACTTTACAATCTTTATATGTAACCCATGGAAACTGCTGAAATAGCCCCTGGAGGAACAGATACCCATAGCTTGGAATGACTGCATTGCAGCACAGGTAAACCCATCACATCCTTACTAATGGAACAGTATGAAAAAGGACACAGAGATATTTCACCTACCTTCCTGCTAGAATCTTGTAGTAGGCAAATATCTGATCAGCCAGCTTGTAGACAAACTGATCAAAGCACAAATTCACCTGAAATAACAAAAGAGGTTCAAACAAACGTATGTTTCAGAATACACGTTTCAATTTGTGACAAAACCTTTAACAACTGAATTCATCCAACGTGAGGTTTTTTTTTTTTTTACATAATGTAGTAAACTGCACTGGAGGACATACAACTAATTTGGAATTGTTTGTGATACAACAGGCACATATGGCATTCTTATGGAAAGCTGTCACTGTGTGTCTCTATCGCATCAAATCATCCAGCACATACACATATTTAATTACCTCAGCCTCTATTTCATCATAGAGGAACTGCTTCTTGAATTTGGTCAGGGCGTAGTGTGCACTGTCGTTGTACAAATCCAGGGGGTACAGAACATACCTGGAGTGGATTAAAGCAAAGAGTTTTATCCCAAAGTGTTACACTACGTATTCAACAACAAGAGTACAGGCAGAGATTGGAATATGGGGACTTGTTAAAAAGATGGTTGAAAGCTGAAATAGCAATGCCTCTGTATTGGTTCACATAGTGCTGAAAATATAGCGGGATAGAAAAAGCGCAGAAAGTAAAAGAACCCTTATATCTGTCAAACCAGATAAATCCAGACCTAATGACTCATTGCAGTCTGCTCAGACACAAGCTCAGGGAAATGTGACGAGCATTACTATCAATATACACTTCTTATATGGTTGAAATGTAGACTTTGTTTTTAGCAATTTTTGGGTGTATAGTTGAGGAATTACAGCACTTATGATTCATGCCAGATGATGTGCTTAATGGCTTATATAAAACCTGCCACGTATCAACATAATCCCGCAGCAAAGATTTAAAACATTTACGGTTAATCCCAATTTTTTTAGGATTTTACCAAGGGTGCTTTTTGAAAACATAAGATAAGAAGAAACAACCACTGAAGTTGCCGAATGCCTTTGGCCAGTCACACCACTAATAATCTCACACAGCCAGAACGCTGCCTTTTTCAAACTAAATTGAGTGCTTTGATTTTGAGAGGACAAACACAGTATGGCATCTTAATACTTCCAACCATAAAAATACACTATGGAGAATGTGTTTGTTCCATAAAGGAAAAAAAATCAGTGGTGCCATTTGTAGACATTCGTGGTATCTTTAAACCCATAGTTCCTCTGTGTTTCTCCAGACTTCTGTAAACGTTAAAAGACAGAAACCTCCTTACAGAAGATGCTCCATGCATCCATCTAGCTTTCCACTGCTTGATGAATGATTCCCATGCTGATCTAGACAACTGTGCAGTGAAAGCAAGAAACAACTAAAAAATAACCGGAGGAAATTAAGTAGGAATGGGAGGAGAAATGTCTAACACTCAGTCCACACAGCCCAGAGCAGCAGCTTCACTGCTCCATCTGCGTCTATGAAGGATGCCTTCAGGCACAGTATTGAGTGTAGGTCACCCACATTTTGACAGTGCTCAGTGCCCAACAGAGTCACTGTAGTTAGGGACGTAAATGAAAAAAATAGACTTAAAGTGTAAGAAACGTGCTTCGGGGCCCCATTACACATATACAGTATTGCATGAGTCGTTACACTGCCTGTGTAAAAAAACGCGTTGATTAAAAAAAAGCGTATCTGTTCCGTTACACGTGCATGGGATGGACAATTAAAAAACGTGGCTGAAATCCTCCTGTGTAGACGTGTTTTAACTTTTGTTGTCATCTATCGTGCATGCTATCCTTACTCCATCATGGATGCTTCCTTTGTCTCCAGGATGTGGTCGGTGAGGATCCATGGCATGGACATCTCAATGGGGAACTGGATCCTGCGGCCCATTGTGAGCTCCAGGAAGAATTCCCTGAACCAGAGCTGGGAAAGGTCACAACACTGCTGCAAGGTCTCTGCATAGGAATAAACAGACTTTATTAGAGAGTCTATATCTAATAGAAGTTATACAGCATACAAAGGGCTCTCCAGAGCTACAGGGTCAAACTGTTTTGTTCTTCTTACCACTGAAGTTCAGCAGATGGGTGTAAAAGAATGACTCGCGGTGAAACTTTTCAATGTCCAGGATGGTGGGGCCTTCCAGACTGCTGCGCAGAGTCTTCTTTGAGCCACTTTTGTCAGCAATGAGAGACTCCAGCATAGTCCTCACCATGTAGAGCTGCATAGAAAAAAAAGCCATAAAAAAGCCATAGTAGATTATTAATTGAAAAAAATCTTATTAGTGTTAGCA